CCACGGGGCTTGCGGTTCTCGGCTTACGGGAACACTACAACTTTCGACGCCTGGCCTCGGAACAACGCGGCGCCCGGCCGCCGCCGCAAATAAGCTGTTGCAGTTAATTTGGGCTGCAAGGAACCGTTCATTACACGAAACAGCCTGCAACGAGAAGCTAGTAGCCACTGCCCGGACGATTTAACAGGGAGAGAGGGTAGTTAAACAGGTTGTTCGCAACAGCACGGTCCATAGAAGCTCTCTGTGCCCGGCCCTAGTTATATGCTACTTGATTGAGACGGCCAAGTAGGATAGAATGACGACACACCGCGTTTCCTCGCCTGCTATCTTTCTTCTAGCCAGTTTGCTGATTTTAATCTTCACCGAAATGTTACCTTTTTCGCGTCGAGACGTTTTTAGTTTCGAGGTTTACGGCTACGGGGCCCCCTCGTCAGTTGATACTTCGTTGGGTCTTTTTACTAGCTTGGAACGAGGAGATTCAATTTTTCTTTTTCTTTTTCTCGGTCATTGTCGGCTGGTATCTTTCCCTATGCTAATTTTTATATTTGCTGTAATGCGATTTTTTTATGTTAGGGAATTTTTATTCTCGCGGTTTCTTAGCTACAGGGTGCTCTTTGTTTGTTGATACTTCGTTGGGTGTTTTTAGTAGCCTGCAACGAGGGAGGTTCAATTTTTCTTATTTTTTTGTCTCGGTCATTGTTGGCTTGTATCTTTCCCTCTGCTAATTTTTATATTGGCTGAAATGCGATTTTTTGATGTTAGGGAATTTTTGTTCTCGCGGTTTCTTGATTACAGGGTGTCCTTTGTTAGTTGATACTTCGTTGGGTCTTTTTATTAGCTTGGAACAAGCAGGTTCAATTTTTCTTTTTTTTCTCGGTTATTGTTGGCTTGTATCTTTCCCTCTGCTAATTTTTATATTGGCTGAAATGCGATTTTTTGATGTTAGGGAATTTTTGTTCTCGCGGTTTCTTGATTACAGGGTGTCCTTTGTTAGTTGATACTTCGTTGGGTCTTTTTATTAGCTTGGAACAAGCAGGTTCAATTTTTCTTTTTTTTCTCGGTTATTGTTGGCTTGTATCTTTCCCTCTGCTAATTTTTATATTGGCTGAAATGCGATTTTTTGATGTTAGGGAATTTTTGTTCTCGCGGTTTCTTGATTACAGGGTGTCCTTTGTTAGTTGATACTTCGTTGGGTCTTTTTATTAGCTTGGAACAAGCAGGTTCAATTTTTCTTTTTTTTCTCGGTTATTGTTGGCTTGTATCTTTCCCTCTGCTAATTTTTATATTGGCTGAAATGCGATTTTTTCATGTTAGGGAATTTTTGTTCTCGCGGTTTCTTGGCTACAGGGTGTCCTTTGTTAGTTGATACTTCGTTGGGTCTTTAGTAGCTTCTAACGAGATAGGTACAATTTTTGTGACTTGTCTTCACCATTAATAACTTATTAGCTAATAAAATAACTTTATATCTTTCTCTGGACGTCCGTTAATTTTTATCTTAGCTGGAGTGCAATTTGATGACGACAGCAAATTTTTATTTTC